TGTTCCACCACAAGGGATCTTGGGGCTGCCCACCGGTATGCTATTCCAGCTGTTCTCAGCTGACTTGTGATGGATGTGAGAGATCGTTTCCACTGCAGGGTGGACCTCGAGAGGTCTTGGTATAACAATGATTTAGTGCCCTCAAACAAGTAGGGCATCAGGGTCCGCAAGGCAGTAAGTAAATCTTTCTTGTCTTGTGCTAGGGAGCAACAGATGACATGGGTGCTCTATGGGATTTTGGTAGGCGGAATACCCATCAATCATGAACTTTTTGGCCTGTGTCGGTGGTAATAGCGAGACGACCATGCGCCTCAAGTAATGTGGCAGTTCATCTGTTACGGTCTCAGGGACACTGCATATTTTTAAATTGTTGCATCGGGTGTGGTCGTCCAGTGCAGCGAGGAGCACGGTTTGCTCTTGTTAAGTTGAGGGATTCTCTTTCTTGTCTGGCAGAGAGGATGTCCTCATCCGTGGCCTGGACCCTGTCTGTGACCACTTGCAGCTCTGCTTGGATCATGGCTATGTCTGCCATCAGCATCCTTTGAAAGTCAGTCAGGAGGTCTTTAATGTCCTGCTTAGTGGCCAGAGCTGATAAGTCTGGGATGGCTGTGGCTGGCTGCTCAGGGTCCTGTGGTGTGGGCTGAGTTGTGGTTGGCATGGGGTGCTGGGGGTTATCTGAGTCCTCATGGCTCTCCTGAGCTGCCAGTTTGTGCTGGGCCTGTCGCTGGATATGGCCCCCATATGATGGGTGCCATGTGGGGTGCCTGGTGGGGGCTTTCATGATCACCTACCCGTTGTGTAAGCCGATCCGGCATGGAGTGGTAAGTGTACTCTGTCTCCGGTGCGGTAAAGTGTGTGGGAGGTCCCAGCAGCTCTGTCAGCTCAAGGCATGAAGGGAGTTGGTAGGCTGCGGGCCCCTTCCTCCATCATTTTGGCCCGGATTTAAAAAAGAAAAGCATGTACTGGTGCCTGAAGACTGCCCCAGGTGATCTCTTGGATAGAGGCAGCCCGATGGGTGAATTAGCCAGCGATGTTCAGCAAAATAAGCAGAGCTCTGGCGGAGCTGATTAAAATGGTGTCTGCTCCATTCCGAGTTAAGCCCCACCCTCCGTAATGTGGTAATTGTGGAAGCTGTTTGTCCGTGGGCTGTTTTTTGCCAGGTGTGGATTTCCTCAGGGGTAGTGCGGCCATCAGTCCCATAGAAGTAGTAGTGTACCAGCCCAGCATGTCCATATGTGTGATACAGAGTTACTTCAACAATTCTAGGATATATGATGCCATCTTGATGGTATGTTGAACAATGTCGTGTAGGACAGTGAGGGAGAATGGACAACCCCACCGGTACTTAACGTTGCAAACTTGTAGGGTTTGGGTGATTGGGTGTAAGACTCTCCTTCCCTGAAATATTGTCCAGGACAGGTCCGGGAATATTTGGATTGGGCTGCCTATAGTTTGTAGCGCAGGAGAATCTTTGGATGATTTATTGTGAGCTTAATGAATTTTGCAAATAATATCTCTCAGCACCTCCTGGGCAAGTCCCTTAGGTCGCAATGCTCTGTGTTCTCTGTCCATAAGTACCGGGGTGTCTAGAGGTCTCTTGAGTATCATGATAAAGATATGTTGTAGTTTAGAAAATAGGTCCCCAGGTTTGTTGCCTTCCTGTAGGCCTCGTATGCGTAGGTCATTGCGCCTACTCCTATTATCAGGGTCATCCACGTGTCAGGTAGATAAGGAGCATTGGGACTCCAGAGAGCCCTGCCTTGTCTCCACTGCTGACAGCCCATGTGGTATGTCTTCTTTTTCTTCTTCAAGATCTCTAACCCTGTGGCTAATCTTGTGAACATCGAATGCAAGGGCTGATCGTTTTTTTCTGGAATAATGCTTCCATCTTGCTCGCATGGATGCCATATCAGACTTTGATGGTAAGTTGTGTAGTATATTGTGTATGTCCAGTTCTCTGGTTAGCAAGGAGTGATCTCTGAGGATGTTAGTCGTTAGGGATGGAGGGACCTGTTGTCATCAGCCTCTGTAGACAGGGCCCTGACAATTTCTCTGAAATATTTATCCAGATCATCATCTTTTATACTGGAGCCTTGATTCAGATGATCTTGCGGTATTAATATCAATCAGTGCATCAGGAGTGATAGTGAGGAATTTTCTCTGTCAGGAATTTTCCCTTGCCATGGTCTTTTGTATCATATTGGGGCTACTCACCGGCTGGTTTGTCCCCAAACCAGCTGGTGAGTAGCCCCAATGAACAAGACAAGGTTCAAAGTGACTTCTCAGCGTTTACTGAGCTGTGTAACAGTTTATGCTCAAGGGGAAACAGGAGTGGTCTTACAAGCATTATCTAATCCTAACAAAATCATCTATCTTATCTTAACATCCTAACCTATAACAAGCTTGCAGGTGCATCTTCATGTTCGGACCTTGCACACAGCTAAATTTCACTATAACCACGCACTCCAAAGTAATATGCATGCGCACTACGAATTAAAGATATTTACTACTAAGTTCTAAATTACACATTACTATGCAGTTATGATCAAAGAGAGAACAACAGGAAATAAGGCAGACATACAGAACATTACAGGATATAACACCTATCACTTTATACATGATATTCTACAGCTCTTAACACCTATTACTTGATATATGATATTATACAGCTCTTTATTGTCTAGGGGTTAACCACTACGCATTGGATATAGATAAAATACATTATTGCAAATAGCTGACATGTTAACCAATTTTAAACAGACTGGCCATCCTGTCATCTGTAGTTTGAGCCTTGGGTCAATAATGTATTATTCCCAACAAGGAGCTCACTTGAAGTGTGACTTCTCACATGGATGGTCAGAAAACACCCCCGTGTAATGTAATTTCTATGCTTCTATTGTGATGCATTCAATGCCATTACCTACGCTCTGATTGTGACCAATTAGAGCAAGATGTAAGTAATGAATTTAAAAACAAAACTAAAAAAAATGTCTATAGACACCAGAATAACTTCATAAAGCTATAGCTGTTCAGGTGACTATAGTGTCCATTTAACTGTCTGGAAGAATCATGCTTTGAAATATATAGCTTTTTTTAATGTTTCCCTCTATTTGTCACTTTTCACTTAATCTATAAATAAAATCAGCTTTAGTGGCTTTCCCAAACCATCAATCATTTTTTTCTACCTCTTCAAATATACAGAAGCTATAGCTTGCATCATTGTGCAAACTTTGTGTCTATCATGGAAAGCTGAACTGCTTATTTACCCTTCAAAAATGTTCTTCTCCTTTCCTTCCACCCTTTTTTGACACCACAGACAGATTACAAACTCCACAAAACAAATTAAATAGCTCATCCATTGCCCATTTCATTCGTGTCATGGTATACTCATTTAATTTGTTTTCTAATGTGTTTTGGAGTAGCAGAATTTGGATGGATTGCCAATAGCCCAAAATCCAAAATATCAAGTATGATAAAAATGTGTCTGTAGTAAGGTCCAGCTTGAAGCACTTCTTTAAAATAATGAACACTCTGGTGTAAATCATATTAGTCTTCTATGCAAAATGCTCAAGATTACATTAACAATACATCTGAAAAAGGTTTTAGGAATAACAATGTTATTGCAAAACTACATTGTGTAATGTGAACTCAAGATGTTAAATAGACTCTTTATTACTTTATAGCTGTATGGGCATTTTTTTTTTTTTTTAACATTCCACTATTGCCCAATGCAAGTTAATTAGATTTGTGCATGATATATTAGCTTGCGGTAGCTTAAAGCAGATACATTGAAGAATGTAGATATATATGCTCCCTATTTTTTTTCCTTTTAAAATGTATTTTGGGAGATGTAGAAACCTGCAAATTTAATGAACAACTGACTGGTTGTGTCAATGTTTTTTATATTTTAAAACCATCCATTTTTTTTATTTTTATAAATGATCTTGGATCCACTCCAAAACAAAGTTAACACAATTAATTGCAAACACCCCTATTCACTGTTAATCATGCATTGTTTACTAGACTTGTGAACAAATCAAATACCTTTGTACTGTATCTATTTCCAAATTGATTAATTGGGATTTAACTGTAGAGTTCTATTTAATGATTCCACAGGTAAATTATGGATCTATTTATTTGGGCACAGATTAAAAGGCAATATATTTATTTGTTGCAGGTGCAAATCATTTGTGCAGTATTCCATTACTATTTACTCAACACTGGATCTGAAATTTCAAAAGAGAAAATGTCATTTTTGAGATAGTTCACTATGGGGTTCTTCACTAAATATTAGATTTTGCCAGATAATAGAAATCCAATGAAAATGACCAAATTCTAACCGCTTTGGCAATTCTTAAAATTGCTAAAGCCAAATGTGGTGAGAATTTCGTTGTCCTGAGCAATCGTCAAGATGTATTTCATGTATGGTGCTTTCACGCCCAAATCAAATGTATTGGAATAAAAATATTCACAAAGCACCAAAGCACCAACTTTATTGTAAGCAAATGATGATTTGAAGAACAATTTGCCCACCAGTGAGCTAATAGTTAAAAATTCATTGGCTGAGTGAGGGTTAATTTTGTGGACGCTGGCCACCATTTGCTAGCTAGCTGCCACATTAAGAAAGTAATTTAAACAATTAATTAATAAATACAATCTGATGGGAGCCAGTAAAATCCCTGAATTACTGAAATAGAGGCATTTAACCTCCCTATGCAGCAAGTGGGGCATATCTACTAACTAAATACTAGTCCCCTCCAAGCCCCCACCAATGGGCCTCAGGTGGGGAGTTTTAAATAAGTAATGGTCTGTGGATAGTTCAATGTTCAACCCCCATGGTCCACTGGTGAGGGCTCTTATAATATTCACGGGGGAGGACCTAATGTCCCTACCCAGCCCTTGCAAATTGGTGGTGAGAGGGTACCCTAAAAATAATCAGTTGGGAGTCCTAAAGATCCCTAGTCTAAACAATAAAGGGGGGAGGACCTAATACCCCTCCCTGGCCCCCACCCATGGGTGATGGGCGGGGGCCTAATATATATATATATATATATATATATATATATATATATATATATATATATATATTAAAGGTGGGAAGACATAATGTCAACACTGCACCCACTCATGGGTGGTGGGTGGGGCTGTAATTATAATATTCAGGGGGTGGACATAATTAATTAAATAAGTATTATTGCAATTATTAATCCTCTAAATAGTGGTATATCCCCCATGGGTGGCTAGTGGTTCCCAATCCCCTAGCTACACTGCCAACTTATCCTCTCACCAACTATATCTAATTAGAGGCTGTGGGTGTTCGTTGAACTGTGGGCGGAAGTGACATATTGTGGAGGACCGCAACGCCACTTCTGCCCACAAGGTAATGAGGAATGTAAGAGACCGGCAGGCTATTAAGGAAGTGACGTACTGTGAGTACCACATGCGTCACCAATAACCGCCGAACAGCACACATGATTAGCATACAATATAATCACGGATTGAGCCTTTCAATTGGATGGGAATACTCGATGTGACCGGAAATGAATCCGGAGCTAACATTTAAAAAGATCATAGAAGTCTACAGGATACAGCCAACTGAGGAAGCTTAATTCTTAAGTGAAACGCGTTGAGGCAACAGGATCTGCACTTATTGGACTTCTGCACATTATAAGGGGAGTGTCACCCCATAATCTGACACCTCATTTTTCTACCTCAGAGCCAGGCTTTTCAGGCTCTGAACAAGGTGAGCTTAACATCTCTGTATATATGTTGTCATTATTATTTGAAACTCTCTGCACAACTGTATGCTCTTTATTCCCTTTTATGTCCAGAGAATACTCAACTATAATCTACCATTGGTGTGATGCTGCCCCAAGAGCATAAAAGTTCCTTCTACCGAGCCAGTTACTATAGAGGCTCATGCCCATGTGAGTTGACACATCACTAATATACTGGGCTATTAACATTTTATATCATATGCACTATATTCTCTATGTATTTTTATTCCATGTATTTCATCTGATGACACACTTCCCCAGATATACCACAAATGGTAAGCATTAACATTTATGCACGGTTCTTTTTTCACCTAGCGCTCCACTCTCATATAGATTTAGGATCTATAAATCCCCTATTAAGAAAATCCCTACCTACCCCATCATCCTAATAATAGTGTGAGGAGGCCAATAAATCTCTTAAAAATATATAAATAAATAAATAAATATATATATATATATATCACTGTCCAGAAGAGTGCAGTTCTAGGAACAGCTAAGATACTGCACAGGACCCTCTAACCCTCTAGAGGACCCAAAAATGAAGAAAACACATACCACCCAGGAGGGGTGAGAAAATCTATTTTATATAACTTATATGGGTGGTATGTTTATTCCTCATTCTTGGGTCCTCTACCAGATACCTGGGAGTTTGAGGGTCTTGTGCAGCAGTATCTTAGCTGTTCCTAGAACTGCACTCTTCTGGACAGTGATCCCACATGCCCCACCTGGAATGTGTTAAAGCCACTCCCCCAAATTGGGAGTCACAGCCCTGAGTGCTCCTATCACAACTGGGACTACTACTGCCTTCACTTTCCTCATCCTTTCTAGTTCTTCTTTCAGTCCTTGTTATTTCTCCACCTTCTCATGTTCCTTCTTCCTGATGTTATAGTCACTGAGTATTGCCACATCCACCACAACTGCAGTCTTCTTCTTCTGTTCCTTGTCTACCATTGCAATGTCGGGTTGGTTAGCCCGCACTTGCTTGTCTGTCTGGATCTTGAAGGCCCACAGGATCTTAGCCCTGTCATTCTCGACTACCCTTTGTAGTATCTCCCATCTGGACCTAGACAGGTCCAATCCATATTCTGTGCAGATGTTTTGGTACACAATCCCAGCAACTTGGTTGTGTCTCTCTGTGTATGCTCTCCCCGCTAACATCTTGCATCTGGCTACAAGGTGCAGGACAGTCTCAGAGGCCTCTTTACACAGTCTGCACCTTGGGTCTTGCCTGGTGTGGTAGACCCAAGCCTCTATTGATCTGGTGCTGAGTGCCTGTTCCTGTGCTGCTAGGATTAGTGCCAAAGTGTTGTCTTTCAGTCTTGCCTTTTCCAACCACTGGTAGAATTTTGTCACGTGAGTCACATCCACTATCTGCTGATGGTACACCCCATGGAGAGGTTTGTCTTGCCAAGGAACCTCCTCTTTTTCTGCATCCTCTATCTGTTGAAGTCTCAGGCATTCCCTTAGCAGTTCATCTTTGGGAGCCATCTTCGTGATGTACTTGTGAATGCTCTGTGTTTCATCAGGCCCGACCTCTTTCCTTTCATCAGGTGTACAGTCTCTGGGTGCTGGATTTCAGGTGGAATCCTCCATTCATAGTGAGTAGTTTTCTGGTCTTGACATCCATGGTGACAAGTTCTTCTCTTGGCCATGTTATTATTACAGCTGGGTACCTGATGACTTGTAGGACATATGTGTTGATGGATTCAATCTTGTTCTTGCCATTGAGCTGGGACTTCAGGACCTGTCTCACTCTTTGGAGGTACTTGGATGTTGCTAACCTTCTTGCCTCTACCTCATGCTTGCTATGCGTTTGTGGTACCCCCAGGTACCTCTGCATTTTCTATTTGGCCTTCTGAAACTTCAGCTCCTTCTGTCCTGATCATCTTCCCTCTTTTTGCTATCACCCTCCTGCAATTCTCTAGTCCGACATATACATTCAGATGTCCTTGCTGTATATCCTAGTTAGGTGGATCAGTGAATCAGTGTCCCGCTCATTCTTGGCATACAGCTCGATGTCATCCATGTAGAGTAGGTGGCGAGTGGTAGCTCCACTTTTGAACCTTTATCCGTATCCACTCTTCTTGATAATCTGGCTAAGGGGGTTGAGGCCTATGCAGAACAGCATTAGTGATAGCGCATCACCTTGGTATATGCCACATTTGATGTTCACTTGAGTTATTTTCCTGGAATTGTCTTCTAGAGTTGTTTTCCACTTGCCCATCGAGTTCTTGATGAAGGCTCTTATTGTCTTGCTGTCCCTGTAGAGAGCCAAGCATTCCAGTATCCATGTGTTTGGCATTGTGTCATAGACTTTCTTGTAGTCAATCCAGGCCATGCACAGATTGGTCTGTCTGGTCTTAGAATCCATGTTTTAGTGTTTTGGTCCTCTGGTGTTGTTTCCAATCCCCTTCTGAATATTGCTCATATGTTGACTCATATGCCCTTGGATCTTGGAAGCTACGATGCTTGACAGGAGTTTCCATGGTGTGGGGAGGCAGGTTATTGGTCAGTAGTTGGATGGTGTAGTTCCCTTGTGAGGGTCCTTCATGATCAGTATTGTTCTGCCTTGTGTTAGCCAGTCAGGGTGGGAGACTGTTGCTAGTAGCTGGTTCATTTGTGCTGCTAGACATTCATACAGCGCTATTACATTATTTATCCAGTAGTTGTGGATCATGTCAGGTCCTGGGGCTGACCAACTCTTCATGTGTGCTGCTCTTTGTTGGATATCTTCGACTGTGATGGTGATGAACTGGTTCCTGTTCTGGCAGCATGCAGTGGTCTGCTTTCAGGTCCAGTAGCCACTGGGTCTCGGTGTTATGAGATGCTTCTTTCTCCCAGATATTCTTCTAGTACTGTTCAGACTCAGCTCTGGGTTGGTCTTGAGAGGAGATGTGGTGGTTACCCTGTAGCTGTGCATACACCTTGGATGGTTCTTTGTTCTTTATATAGGTTTTCACACATTATGTAAGCTATTAAACATGGGGAAAGTCCACATGTTTTGCAATATGAGTAAGAGTACTTTGATTGGTTGGCTAGTAAATCAACCAATCAGAGTGCTAAGAGAGCAAAGCCTCACTTCTCTCTTGACTGACAGCCCAGCTAGTTTTAACATGTTAATAGATATGTCACCATGGCAGGTGGGGGCATAAGGAGATTTAAAACCTCCCATACGGTAATATGTGGGTCTTATTAACCCCCATAGACTTTCATTTATTTACTTGTTTGCTTTTATTTTTTTATCCTTTTTAATATGGTGGCTGGCCAAATCCATGATGAAAAATAAAAAGTGATGCAAAAAAATAATCCTAATTAGCCCCGGAAGGGCACTGCACGGAATGTGGTTTCAAGATAGGGAAAGCCATTATATAGCTTCCTGTCAGGATTACAGAATGATCCAGCACGTAGAATTGTATAACACAGAGGACTGATAGGTAACGTATACCGGACCTTAGAATGGCCGGACTAACGTACCAAAGAATAGTCAGAAATAGCCGAGGTCAAGGGATACAGAAAGCGACACAACGATAAGGAAAAGCCAGGAGTCAGGGCTGCCAGAAAACAGGGAAGTCAAAAACAATGCCAAAGTCAAATAACCAGAATAACCAGAATCAATAACGCACTTTTGGACAACCACAAGGGAAACCATGACAGCGCACTGAGCAGGATGAGAACTGGGCCTAAATACCCCTCCTCTAGATCTGATAGGCTGTAACCGGCCTTTGACCCCAAAGGCAGTTACCAGGTTCCCATTTGCATAATTGCTGCTCAGCATTAACCCTTCTGTGGATTTGGTTGCTGCTCGGCACAACTTTTCCTGTGTGGACAGTAAATGCCATTAACCACATTTTTATAAGCGGATAAATACGTGACTCTTCCCAGTCACTATTAATTATAGTGAGCGGCTGCTGGTTGTTCACAGCATGACAGGTGGGGGCATAAAGAATGTTATTATTATTATTATTATTTTATTATTTATAAAGCGCCAGCAAATTCTGTAGCATTGTACAATAGGTTTATATATCTGACTTGTATTAATATTTGGATCATATTGAACCCATAGACATTTTTACATTCATTATTATAATTTGTTCATTTTATTTTTACATTTTATTGTTATGCTTGTAAACCAGATGCCACATGATTAACCCTTGCATCATTGTGGGTTTTTATTTTTTTGGTGGGGGATTTGAATGGCGGAGACTTTTAAAATCATGATCATGAAGCATAAGAAATGTCTTATCCATTGACTATTTTGTTTGTTTCGTGATACATATATTGTTTGTTTCAGAGTTCAAAATTTCGAACAAC